GATTCAAAGAATGTATGAGAATAATTATACTTCAAAGTACATGAAATCAACAAACCTCCATCCGCTCCTTCCATTCTTTCAATTTTCTCTCCTTCAGATGTGCTCTTGTCCAAATCAATAGGCTATTTTTTAGCTTTCTTTGCAAGATTTAGGGATTAGGATTTCAATCGTTGTTGGACAAGATGGTGGGTTTACGGGTTGAAAATCAACTTAAGATGGTGATGACCTTCATAGCGTTGAATCAATTTATGGTGTACGCAATTTTGGGATCGTGGTTTGGGGAAAAATTCAATTAGGGTTCATCTTAATTAGAGGTGCTGTTTTAATTTGTAAGTAATGATTTTAGGAAACATGTGTATTACGTGGCTGGGTGTTTACGCCGTTAGATGCCAAGTAGGAAGCCGTTGTGCCACGTCAGATGAGTTCCAAACGTCTGGGTGATGAGTGCTCGATGGAGAATACTTTTGGTAAGTTCAGTGACCGTTTAGAGGAATTTCAAAGTATAGTGACTACAAAGTGACAACATTCAAAGTTCAGTTATTAATGAAACTTTTTACTCAAGGTTAATCTATCGTCGCGGGGGTATGGTCGAAGGGATGAGAAAGAAGAGGAGAAAGTTATGTAGCGGTAGATGGTCATGATGTCTAGTCACCTACATAAAGAAATTGGACGACGAGGATTTAATTGTTGCCAGGTACTGAAGGTACCAAGTCTTGTTTGGAGAGTGACTAGTTCGGACTATAGGGTGGAGGTTTGAGAGTGGAATTAGGATAAGGGTTTGAGTAGGAAGTAATGACTATCGGCATTGGTGGTAGAGATGAGGTGGGTATTGAGAAAGAGTAAGTGGCATCATAGTTGTCGACGGTGGTAGCGACTTTGGTGAGGGGTTGCTGCTATTGCTTCACCGAAGCTGCATTGAAGTGAGCTCGCTGTTGCTACGTCTGGCAACGATGTAGTGGCATTGGTGCTACTGTTGGTGGTGATGCTACAGTAACTATGACATTGCAGGACGACGATTATAGATCTAGAGGTTGCTGTGGTGGTGCTCAATTGGCGGTACTCAACGACCAGTATATCTTGAAGTGAAGGATGGGTGCGGGGGATGTGGTGGTGCTTGCCAATGGTGATGGGTAGGGTACGGTGGAGTGGCGTGGGGTGGGGTGAACAATTAATTGGGTAATTTGTAAGTAATAAATGATTTGTGATTTATTGATTATGTAATTTGTTGACACGTGATTGTGACTCATAAATTGTGTGGCATGTAAACACTTATTAGAGGTCACACGTGACCACCTATATTTTTGAATTTTTTTACAAATTGCTTTCTTAAATATTTGTATTTATGGAAATCTTCCATTTTTACTCATTTGTAATTAAATTGAATTCTTTATTTTTTTTTCAATTTTTCAAAATGAAGCCACTCTTCCCCAACCCAGCACCCTCACCTCTAGGGTTCCATGGCAATAATAGAGCTTGTTCATGTGAGATTTTTCAAGTGAAAAATAATTTTTTTTGGACTTCTTTGGTTAAAATGAAAAATAAAATAAAATATATTATGCCTATAAAATGTGTGAAACAAAATAATTTTTAAAAAATCTCCCCCAAACTAGTTCTAAACTATCGTCCGTTAATGCTAGCTGGCTGCCACCCTACCCTAAGATTCTGATAATTAATGAGTTCTACAATTCAATTAAGAAGTGACAACAAAAAACAATCTTTATTTTTCACTTTCGATCTAGCAATTAACATTGATATCTACAAAATAAATAAATAAATAATAAAATAAAATAAAAATTACTTTAATATCAAGAAGAAACCAAGTAAATAACAAATAACATTATACAAAAACATGAGAATTTTTTAAGATTTGTTAACCTCTCAATCTTAACTGTTTGATATAACACATCATTAATATAGTTGTTCATGTAGAAAATTAATTTACAATTCACACAACTAAATAGAAAAAAAGCTAGATAAATTATTCTTATATTTACATTTTTAAGTTTAACCAAACATGTCAAATAAAATAATCTAGGAATCCGTAATATGATACTTGTTAAAAATAACATGCCATGGTGCATGTCTATTTTGAAAATTATTTCGTTCATACAACGAAACGTGAAACACGAAAGAAACAACTAACTGTTGACCTATGATTCAATATAGTTCCACTTGTTTTGATTATAACAAACAATACACTTATATTTCTAATAAGTTTTGTTTCTTGAGTTTTTCATGAATATATCTTCTTAAGCATTCAAAGACTCAAATCGTTATTCGTTGAAAAATAAGCAATCAAATGAGACTTGAAGAGAACAAGAACAGGAACTTTAAAGATTAAAGCTTAGAAGTAGCTTATCGGAACTTAAATGTAAATGTA